TCAATAAATGCTGAGATTTTTTTTTTAAATCAAAAAAATAGAAAATTAAGATTGGAATATTGGAACTTCCACAAGACTTGTGGGTTAGAAATTCCATTTTTCTTATATATATATATATATATATATTATATAGATAAGTCTCATTTGAGTAGTAATAATGTAGTAATAATGTTTTTGTATGTAGTGTTAGCGCGTGTTGTTCTAAATGTTATGGATAAATTATTTGGTGATGTGAAAATTACATTTGTGCTCAAAAAACTTACTATAGTCTTTTTCTGTTTTCCTTCAATCCTAATCAAAACGGAAGAGAAGAAAATGAAAATATTATGGATTCCCGATGTTAATGGTTGTAGATTGCTTTGTTTGTTGTTTATTTGATTTTGACAACGTTAAACGCTTTCTTTATGTTGCCAATTTTGTTTTTTGGTTCCCCCTAAACCCTAGAAATACAAATTCCAATTCTGTCAACACAACGATTAGGATCGAGAACCACATCTTTCTGTCATTGGATTGATGTTACCGACGTATAACCAGTGTATATATACTCCTCATTATGTCGTCGACAAGATTGTTTTAGGCCTCGTTTGGGAACAAGTTAATTTAGTAACTTTTTGACTATTTAGCTAAAATATGAGCTAAAAAAAACTAGTATGTTTGGGATGATTTTTTTGACTTTTTAGGAAAAGATGTGCAAAAAGTAGAGAGAAAAGAGAACCTTTGACTTTTTTGTATGGGTTGTTGACTTTTTGACTTTTTTAGTAACTTTTTGGCTAAACGAGCTGGTTCCCAAACGAGACCTTAGTGGGCAATGACGTCAGGTATATATTTCAATGTTATCGTTTTACTTCTTTGATGACATCATTGTCTATTTTTATATATAGCGTTAGGTCGGTAATGTTATAGGTTCGCATCATATTGTTGTTGTATGTGAATGGTAATGTAAGTTTGAAGTACATTGGAAATTTGGTGTAGTCATTGTTCTATTGTGGGTTCTTGTGTATTTTTTTTAAATGTTACATTCCAACGTGACAGGTTTGATATAATACTAAAAAATTTCTTAATCTACTTTTTTCAAATATGACACTCCAATGTGACGGACAAATGAATCATTACACATCTAAAAAAAATAAATGAATCATAAGAAAAAATTTGAGATTATATAAATCACAAATCCAAAATATGAGATTTATTGATCAATTTCCTAAAAAAATATTATTGATGGACCTAAAAATATTGAAAATAGATACCCCATTAAACCCTAACAAAGGAGTATCATGAATTTTTATTTTAATAAGGAATGAGATTATTATTAAGATTATCATATGATTGGACCGAAAAAAGAACTTATAGGGGGGACACCATCCTCTTCCCTGAATGGTCAAGGTCTAGGAGGCAATAATGGCCACAATTTCAGGGATTGTGAAATCATGGTCCTTTTTAATTGAAAACTCTGTTGACAAATTTTACCACAAGGCACAAATATATAATCAAAGAATTCTACAATTTGAATTGCACATACATGTGTTGACATTTTTACCATCAGGCACATAATCAAAGAATTCTACAAGTTGATTTGCACATGAATTTCAAAACGTAGACCTTTCAAATTACGAGGTTCATAACTCAACCCATCCAAAAGAACATTTATTAATTTATTTATATTTTTTATTTATTTTTACTTGCATATAATTATAAGAGTTTCAATATATTGGGGAGCTTAACAAGAGGAATCTAAACGGGCCTATTCATTGAGAGTAATTATAGGAGTTTTTATCTATTGGAAAGGAGAGATAATGGACTTAGAAACTCTGATCTGAGAGAATTAGAAAAGGAAGATCCGTAAGCAACTAGATTCTAACCCTACCGAAGATCGTTAATAAAAATGAATCTCACCTTTGAGCATACTAAAAATGTAAGCTAATTTGAGGAAAATAACAATAATGTCACGCACTAAAATATTAGTGTCACACAATTCTTTCCACATGGGTGTTCTCCTTAGAAGGTACAACAATTTGAAGTGCCCATAACAAAACATTTGCACCCAATGTGAGTATTTTATAATTTATTATGTAATTCATTATATGTCCCTAGCAAAACTGTTTAACCAAGGCAAGATGACATTGTTCTAAATCACTGTTGTCCATTACATTCAGAAAGAGAACAAATTTGTTCACACTAATGCTGTGTTTGGTTGGGGGATTTTGGGAGGGATTTGGAAAGGGAAAGGGAAAAGAGAAAAGGTGTATGAAACTAAGTGAAATGTAAGTATATTTTATTCATATTTCACCTAACTTTTCCCTTTCCCTTTCCAATTCCCTCCTCAAATCCTCCAACCAAACACAGCGTAAGTGAACAATACACATTTCCCTGTTGGTTGCTCAATGAGGTGGTCCCATCTCCAACACCAAAACCAACCACTAAGCATCAATAAGTATCAATCAAGTGTAATCTTTACACACTCATATAGTGTGAACAAATTTACACTCTATTTAGAACAGTCATTAGTAATGAAGATTTTGGCCCAATTAAACTCTAACTATGTTCACCCACATTGGCACATTAGATCAACAATGATACCAAAAAAACTAATAATCACCATGCAATTACTTCAAAATTATTGCTTAAATACCTAAACGAATTTGCAGGTTTCATTTTATTGCGTTGTCTAACTAGGATCTCTCTCTTCATGGTTGTGTATCAACAACCTCGACAAGAGTTAACCTAGATTTTCCCTAGAAGAATTTGCCATATTATAAATTTTTTTTCCAAGGGTTGGATACCTTCATTCGTCAGTCTTTTTGAAAGCAAAAAGGTTTATGAATTTTCTAAAACTTGTTTTTCGGAAACCTCTAAAGCAAATTCTTTATCACAAGAAGTAAACTCTTAAGAGGAATAATAACTTCAATTTCCCGACATCTGCTTCCCTTCTCCTTCTATTTTTATTTTATTTTATTGGGAGAATGTGGAAAACCAACTCTACAAATTCATTTTTAGTTTATATAAATAAATTAAAATTAAAAAAATAAAAACAAAATATAAATGTAAAAGCAGCACTGAATAACTTTTAGGGGTCTTCAATTAATAATTAACAAAAAAAAAAAACATGCAGGGAAATTAAGCATTTCATGACACAATTCACATTTAGTTCATCTATCAAAATGTAGTCTTAAAAAGTGGAGCTAACAATCCACATTAAAATTATGTTGCATAATGTAAAATATCTCCATTGTATCAAAGAAATGATTATGTTGATTTATGACAAGCTATATGTGGCCCCTAATTCAAATTGGGGAACACTTATCAAAGCAAAATTCAAATTAGGGAAGGTGGGCTCCCTGTCCTTGGCATTGCCAAACTCATATCAAACTTAACAAGCATCTCAAAAGAAAGCCCAAAAAATAAACAAAAAGGGAAACGAGAAGAAGAGAGGGATGAACTATTAATATAAATTCTAAATATGTTGTTGTCAATGTTATGTGGAATCATCTTACTTCAACAGGTGTAGTGGAAGAGGATGTTTCTTCTTTGACATGTTGGTTTATCTCTTCTACATTTTTCACATTTGCAATTCTATCTGCTTCAGCTTTCTCAAGCAAAGCCTGTGTTTGCATTACTTTCATCATCTCCCTCATTGATTTTTCCTCTCCTTCAAGCTGCATTTTCATTATGATCTCAGCTTCCTTATCGATGGGCTTAAAATACTCATCAATAGCCGCCTCCTGGACACAAAGCATACAGTTAATCAGACACTCAAAACCAAGACAAGCAACTGCAGAGAAAGAAACAAAAAAAATAAAAAAATCAATAAATCAAAACAACTGGAGATCCAATTGGAAGCACACCCATGCAGATTAAATAATGATCAGTTTTAAAGCTGTGGTAACAGGTTTGCATAGAGAAATCCAAGCATTAACTAAAGAATTTAATTCCTCGTCAAGAGGTCTAGAGATCAAATTCTACAATAACATTCCGAATCCTTCAAACAGGTCCAAAGCCTGAGGGATGGACTGCAGCCAATTAGCTGATAGTCTTCCCAATATTATGACATGTTTTGACCCAAATGATGACACCCAGCAACTTCCTATTTCTCACGCTGAGGCCAAGGCGCATTCTAGCCACATTGAAACTTCCCCCAACAACTTAATCCACATTTAAAATAATGCAAGACATCCATCTTTTATAACCCAAAATTCTAATTAAAAATATCACACAACCAAAGATATCATGATCAGGCATCTTAAAGTGCATAGTCATATGGTTCGTACTCAATATTAAGGGCCTTCAATTAATATAGAGAGAAGGAAAGCAAGACTCACTGTTTCTTCTAACTTGCTATTTAAAGCTTGCATCTCCTTAACCATACAGCGAACCTCTGATAAAATAATCTGTTCTGGGATCCTTTTCAAGGCTGCCTTCTTTTCCTCTGCCTAGAGAGAGCGAGAACACATTAAGATAAAAATCCAAAGTGAAAACATCAAAACCTATGGGGTTTCAAGTGAGTTGGAAACACAAATCAAGAGGAGAAGAAGAAAATAACAAGAACAGACATACAAAAAATGAGCCTTTCAAGTCTCAAATAATTGTTAACATCAAATGCATGTCTAAAAACTCGTATTACACTTAATAGAATATCATGTTGCAGAAGAGGCAAATGACATTTAACAATAAAACCTACCAATTGACAGCTCTTAAAATTGTAGGTACGTACATCCAAGTTCCAACTCTCCACAAAGTAGGTGGAGCCCATCACCACATCAACTCCATGAGCTTGCTTCTGACAACTCCAACGGTCATGGATCCACATGTTATCTCGTGAGGTGACCACGTGGACCAATAGTGCATCTCCGTATGCTCCTCTTAGGGGGTAGGCTAGTGCACACAGTGCCCTAATCTCAAGCCTAGGCAAAGGGACCACAAGCAAGGCATCTGATTCAGCTTGAACATTGATCAACTAGGCTGATCATATATTCGCCCGAGCGTGTCCCTCTATATCTCCCCAAGTGTTAAGCATGTCCACTCTCCAGTTGAGCCTGCACTCCCTCTATAGCCCATGCTTGAGCTTAGGACAAGCAACTGTCCAACCAAGTACACGTCTTCTATAAAAATACTCTGCCCAAGGGCACCCTGACACTGCCATGCCATCCTACGTCTGGAGTAGGGGGGCCTAGGAACCCCCTCAAGGTTGGTACCTTGGTCATGGGAGTGTCCCATAACCCCTCCCTTGGAATTACCAAAGGATTTGAGATAGGAAACCTAGAGTTGAAAAAACTCTCTCAATTTCCCTCCCATTTATCTCATATTAAGGCCAAGTTTGACATCCTCAAAAAAATCCAAAAAGTCAAAAAGTCACTATCCTATTTAAGTCACATCATCTTATTTAAGTCGCATCACCTCTCTAACAAATCACTTCAAACCCAACCCAAATCCAACCCATATTTCATAAAAAGTCAAAAAGTACACTTATTTAGTCTTCCCAAACTTGGCCAACAGGTGATTAGGGAAAAGAGACTTCATTTTCTTCTTCTGTTTTATTTTTTATTTTTTAAAATTTCTCTCCAAATCACTCAACTGAAAAGCCCCAAAACATTTATATGTGCATTGCATACATAAATACATATACATATATATCACTAAATTAGCTCAGTTAGTAGAGTAGCTGCTCCTTTACTATTACATCCAGGGTTCAAGTGATCATCAAGCATCTAACTTGAATTTCTTTCATCTACATTATTACATTCCTCTTCATCTCCACCAGCATTATTAACCCTCATAACCAAACTGTTCTTCCAGCACTATAAAATGAACCCAATAAATCCCCAACATTGACACACAGTCGAGAATTAATACACCAAACTGGCTCTAAAGAAATTCAACTGAAATTCTTTAATTAAACGCAAAAAAAGGGATCAAACTTGTAAAAAAGCAAAACAAAGTTTAATTGGATCGTAACAGTAAAACCCAATTCAAGATGGCCACAAAGATATGCATTATATAGATGGATATATACATGAATAGAGAGAAAAGAATAGGAGACCTGTTGGAGACGCTTTTGAAAGTGCAATCTGTAAGATCGGATGCGATGTTCCTCGTACCCAGATAAAACCCTAACGTACAACATTGCTTTCCTCCCAAATTCCAATACCTTGTCCATATTTACAATAAATCCACCCAAATCGAACAAGTTCGTTAAATTGCTACAATTAGAAATGAACACAACAACAACAACAACTCATTTGAAGAAAGTTTGTCTTCAACACATCAACAATGCAACGATTCTTCAACTGTATTCTTGAAGCTCAGTCACCTGTAACAAAATAACAAAATGGCATTTATCCATCTTTCGGGTCGCATGGACTCGCAATTATGGGTCGGGTAGTATGACTTTTGAAAAATTATTCAATGTGTCCATAGCATTACTTATTTATACTAGGGGTGAGCAGCGGATATACCGATCCGTCAAAACTGACCGAACCGAACCGATCCGCCGCATTTTGGACGGATGCGTGATGACGAGCGGACGGCTGCGGATTGATTTTCTCAAATCTGCCAATTTGGCGGACGAATGGCGGATTTGAGATTTTTTGGCCGCAACCGAACTGCCAAACCGCCAAATCGCGAGCACCCCTAGTAATTTATAAGATTTTGTATTTTCAATTTGTTTAAATATTATGTTTGTGTTTTCAATTAAAAAATAGTTTAAATATTCTGTTGAAAAAAAGTTTTCAACTTGAATATATTTTTTGAATTGAAAAAAATAAACGTATTATTCATTTATATTTTTTAATTTTTAAATCTAACTCTAAAAATAATAAATAGAAAATATGATATATGCTGGTTGGTTTTTGTTTTAAAAAACATAGTAGATGTAACAATACAGAGACATTCAATCTCTACTACTACTCTGTTCATGGTTTTGGTGGTTTGAATTGTTATTATATTTTAAGAATCACAGATTGTAATACTTTATGGGGATGAATCATGCTGTGATTGTAATATGTGGATGAGGCATGCAGTGGTCGTGGTATTCTAAAGTTTCAAACTTTTGTTCTTTAGATAAGGCATACAGTGATTGTAATATTTTTTTTAAGTCATTGACTGTAATACTTTCTTTTTCTTTTTTTTCTTTTTTTTTTGTTTGAGGAAGTGCACAAGTTGAATTATGTTGAAAATTTTAAACCGCCAAACCGATTCGCATCCATCCGCCAAACCGCCAATCCGCTCAATCCACATCCGCCGGATTGCACAGACGGATGGGGGTTGATTTTCTTCAATTCGCCAATCTGGCGGACAGATGGCGGATTGAAGGTTCCGTGGCCGCAACCGACCCGCGCCCACCCCTAATTTATACTCCCTCACTAATTATTATCTATTATACTTTTTCGTATTTTTCAATTATTTGAAATAAAATCATAAATTCTATTTTTTCTATCAGTCACAATACTTCAAAACACTATGGGATCATACTTGACTTTTGAAATGAAACAAAAACAAAAATGTTTTGGAGTTTCAATTTATAAGTTCTAGTAGCTCTAATGTGTATGTATGACCCATTTGATGTGATATTTTGACCTTGTTTTTTTTGTTTTTGTTTTTTTGACTTTTCACCTCAATTAGAGGTCTAATTTTAAAAAGATGTATCATTGTTGAAACAAAATAACAAGCATTTTTCATACAATAGTTGAGGATTTTTTTTTCTTCCATTATTTTTATGTAAAATATACAATTTATTTAAATTTATTGTTATTTTTATATTAATTTTTCTTTTCAAATTTTGTTAACTGTCACTTTTGAGACACATGTTAAAAAGTTCAAAATGATTATTGAGAGGAAGATTTTATGAGCTGGAAATGGGCCATGGTAAGGGCCGGGCAAGTTGAAGGCCTAGCGCGTTTGGGCCAAGATAGCTTTGGGCTTGTCCGGAGATGGGGCTGCTGGGCTAAAGCCCAAGACCGAGCTACTTGAACTTGCGTTGCTCGGCAGGAAGGCTCGCGCCTTTAGCTTGGCAGGAAGGTTCGCACCTTTAGCTCGGCAAGAAGGCCTTTGTTTTACCCACGTGACCTATTTCGAGCTTGGCTCTGCCAGAATGCAACTGAGCTCGGTCGGTATGGAGCTTGACTAGTGAGCATTCGGGCATGCGGCGCAGCACGGTTGTGTGAGGCCGAGGTGATTCCACTGGTCTGCCGGGTTCCGCCAAGATATCCTGACAGTTTGGTTAGGTGGTGATTGTTGGATTTGTGTTGACAGATGGGATAGTAGCACCACGTGTCGAGAGACTAATGGGAGTAGATTTGGGGCGCAGAAGGTATATAAGTGTGTCTGCAACCCCATGCTGAGACAGATGATCATTTTGGTGAGAAACACTTGAACATTCAACTCTCTCCTCTCTCTCTCTATCCCTGAGTGTGTGCTAACTTGACCGTCGGAGAGGTTTTCCAGCCACACACCGCTGGGTAGCTCACCGCCGTTGTGTTCGCAGGTCGATCGGATAGATAAGGAGCTTGGTAGAAAGGAGTACGGGCACGCCAGAATATTTGCTCCTTGTACAATTGGCGCCGTCTGTGGGAACTTGATAGACAAAACCTTGTCTTCCCAGCTTATCTGATCGCCGTCCATGGCGAACAACGACAAGATTCCGTTGTCCGCCATCGACGGAGTTACCCCGGAGTTAGCCAGACAGAGAGAAGGACACCCCGCCATTCCTCCGATGGCAGACCTGGAGACTTCTCCAGGAGGACATTCGAGAGATGCGCGAGATAAGCGCGGAAGAAACTTTGGTCATTCTCGAAGTTCAGACGATTACCGACGGTAGAGAGAATCGCACGCTAGATGTCTGGAACACAAGCTAAGGGACCAAGACGCCGTCATCTGGAGAATGGCGGCAGAAATTGAGGATCTTAAGTGGCATGTCAAAGGGAAGGGTGTAGCAGGAGTGGGAGACCATAGTGAGCGCACCCAACCCCGCCGTTCAGGCAGTCAGAGCCAGCGGCAGACTCCGTCCCTCTCAATCACCAGAAGTTACAACATCGGAGATTCCGATGCGCCCGTAGAGAAGTCTAGCGCGCAAGATAGCACTTACCAACCCTCACGTCTGGCGACGACGTCAAAGTACTCCTACTCCGCTCGTTCAGAGGATTTACGGGTAGTCTTGAAGGAGCGGGCTTGTCGACGGGAGACTCAGAGGGTGCCGGCGTTCCAGCGGTTATCCTATGGGGGTCGCGCCAGTGAAGAGGTCGTAATGCCTCCACCCCGCCTTGCTGTGCCTCCTTCTCCAGACACGGATTTGGCGAGGCTGAACGCCACTCCTTTCTCCCTGGAGATAGAAACAACACCGCTTCTCGCGGGCTTCTACCAGCCAAAGTTCATGCTCTACGACGGAAAGACCAATCCATACATGCATGTAAGCTACTTCCGACAGGTCATGGCCGGACATAGGCGGAATGACACTCTTATGTGCCTTATCTTCCCGTTAAGTTTGGGCGAGCTGGGCTTGAAATGGTTTGAGAGGCTGCCGGAGGGGAGCATTGAAAGGTGGCAGCAGTTGGGGGAAGCCTTTGTGATGCGTTTCAAAACCAACACTAGAACGCCAAAGGAAGTTGACCACCTTCTTAGTGTCAAGATAGAGCCGAGTGACACACTCAAGGCATACAACTCCAGATACTGGGAAACCTTCAATGAGATCTTGGATTGCCCGGTCAACGTGGCAATCACACAATATAAGCGTGGTCTCCCGGTCGGACATAGACTGCGGGACTCGCTTACTATGCACCAGCCGACATCCATGGGCCAACTCATGTAGCGCATCAACGAGCACATCCGAGTAGAAGATGATGCGGCAGCATTTACCGTGAAGGCAACTCCGGTAGCAACAGAAAAGAGGTCAGCTGGCAAGGTGCACGAGGTCGGACAGGAGACCAACCGTTCAAATGATCGCGCCGAGGAGTCTGACCTCGGTTCAAATCGTCGAAACCAGGGTAGGGGTCGGTGGAATGACTGAGATGAATACCCCCGCGACGACGTAGCTGATGCATACAGAAGGTTGAAAGCTCGGACGAGCATCACCACGGTCTTTAAGATTTCAATCTATCGCATACTTAGTGAAATCTGTGACAAGGATTACGTCCGGTTTCCTGCTAAATTAGGTGATGCGCAAAAAGGCTTCAATCCGTGGTACCGCTGCACATTCCACCGGGAGCGCGGACACCGAACAGAGGACTGTTTGCCTCTGAAGCAACACTTGGAGGAGCTAGTCGCAGCCGGACATTTGGACCTTTACATTGATGGGGATGTGAAGGCCGCACATCAAGCCCCGGTTGACCCGCGTGGACCGGATGACCTGGAGGCGCCCCCACAAGGAGTTGTTAATGTCATCCACGGCATAGTGGAGCCGAAGCGTGTATGCGAGCTCCGAGGTATGATCAAGAAGGCAGAACACATGAGGGAAGTTTTGTCGGTCCAGCCCGCGATCAAGAGGGAGAAGACCGAAAAGAAAGACGTGATCAGTTTCTCTACAAGGGGCTTAGAGCGCATTCAGACGCTGCACAACGATGCCTTAGTGGTCACACTCCGCGTCAAGGAATTCGATGTCAAGCGCATCTTGATCGACCAGGGAAGCTCGGTCGAGATCATGTATTACGACGCGTTCAAACAGCTCAAACTCCGAGATACAGACTTGGCTCCGGCTACTTCGCCACTGGTTGGTTTCAACTCGCAACCGGAGTGGCCTTTGGGAAAAATTATTCTGCCGATCAAAGCGGGATCCGTAGTCAAACAAGTGGAGTTCTGAGTATTGCAAGTGCCGTCTACATATAATCTGATCCTTGGAAGGGGATGGCTTCATGCTATGCGAGCTGTAGCGTCGACCTACCATCAGGTGATGAGATTCCCCTCGGCTATGGGGGCAATTGAGGAAGTTTGGGGCGATCAGGTCATGTCGAAGCAATGCTTCGTGGCAGTGAACGGGAGCCGAGCTGCCAAAGGCTTCATCCAAATGATTGAAGGACCGGAAGACCGGGGAGTCCTTGACGACGTGGGCACCAAGGCTGAGGACAAAGCCATTGAAGAGTTGGTGGAAGTGCGGATTGACAAGGAGAGCCCGAACAAGTTCTTCTTGCTCGAATCAAGCCTTACCGCCCAAGAAAGGACCGAAATGGTGGAATTTTTTATGGCAAATATTGAAGTCTTCGCATGGTCACCTTACGACATGCCCGGCATCGATCCGAGTTTTATTTTCCATCACCTTAATGTTTTCCTCGGGGCAAAGCCGGTCATTCAGAGAACGAGGAGATCGGCGCTACACCATGCCGAGGTAGTTGCAGAAGAGGTGAAGAACTTGCTTGAGGCACGAGCTATTCAGGAAGTGCACTACTCTCGGTGGATTTC